GACCATAAAAAAGTAGCAACAGTCATCAATGGGAAGGGACCACTACATTGTGGTATAAGCATTTTCTGAAATAGTACTAATTGCTATAAAGGGAGGAGATCTACATTGCCACAAAAGGGTGTTTTAACAAAGAGAAAATAAGTACATATATATGTTTATAGCTTATTATATACATACATAAATATACCAAATTATCCTTTTTGTTGATGTCTGGGGTAAAGGGGATTCGGAGTTGAAAAGGATTTCAGCTCTACCTGTAATATTTGAATTTGTTAAGAATACTATATTACTTGAAAATATGAAATAAGTAAATATATAAAACCTCTTACAATATAAAAAATAGTGTTTAAATCCAAGTGGAGCAAAACTTACCTGTGCAAAAAGCTTTCTTTTGCTAGTTGAATTTGTAATGTTCCACCTTTCCATTTTGTTTTATTTAAAACAGACATACCTATAAAGTAAAGAATTGTTACTCAAGTACATGGCAATGCAAAAATATATTTCAGCTTGTGCTTTTTCTAATTATCTAATATCAAGAAAAGCAGACTTGTTTATCACAAAGAGACCTAGGGGAAGTGGAAGAAAAGAAATGAGACCTGGAGAGAGGGAGCCTAGGCTCTTGTCTCATCTTGACAACTTGCCAAAAGGGTCTTTACACTCCCTCTTTCACAGAGTTACTAGATTGAAATGAGGCAAATGTGTAAGAGAAGTAAAGCAAAATTTATTTGCAATTTGTTTATAAACAAATGTCAGGAACCTCTGAATAACTGACATTTAATGTATATTTTATTGTTATTTCCTATATTTTGATTATGAAACAATAATCTTTTCAGGTGAATCAGAGGATACTTTGGAACCCTACTGCACCTTATTTTATCACCTCATACTAATTATCACTGTAGAACTTGTAGATGAATTAACTGTGAGTAACTGAACTGTGTTTGAATTGCTATGCCCTAGAAATTGATTTATCTGAATATCTGCTGTCAGCTTCCTTAATAATACCATTAACAGAATTTTGTAGGTGGTAGGTATATACTAAGCACAAATGTATCATTCTTTTTTTTTTTTTTTTTTTGGAGACAGAATGTCCCTCTGCTGCCCAGGCTGGAGTGGAGTGGCACAATCTTGGCTCACTGCAACCTCTGCCTCCCGGGTTCGAGCAATTCTCCTGCCTCAGCCTCCCAAGTAGCTGGGATTACTTGTGCTTGCCACCACACCCAGCTAATTTTTATATTTTTAGTAAAGACAGGGTTTCACTATGTTGGCCAGGCTGGTCTCCAAATTCCTGACCTTGAGTGATCCACCTGCCTTAGCCTCCCAAAGTGTTGCAAATTTATCATTTAATTTAATTCTCGCAGAAATATAAGGCAAACACTATCTTTTGTCATTACATCACATAAGCAATCTGGAGCTGAAAACTTTAAATAAATTGCCACAGGTTATAAAGCCTAGTTGATGTATTCTTATCCACAACTTCACATTTGTCACATATATTCCTAAATGAAAAACAGAATAAAGCAATCTTTTTCCGAATGAAATTATGAAAGACTGATTGCCCTCTTCCTCTATTAGCACGTTCCCTTTACTTACTTTCTGTGTCTTTTTCACTTTTTGGCCTCCAAATAACTAGAATACGTTACTGTGGCAGTTTGGATTATCTCTTGTTCTTCATTGAAGGCCAGTGTTTGCCCTTGGCTTTACTAAACTTATCAACAACAGATTTCACAATTTCAAGGATATGGTCCTACAAGGGTGTATTGTAAAGCCCCCTCCTTAAGTGTTTAGTGACACGGATTAGCTGCCAAAGAAATGATCAGACCGAGGGGGAATGTGGCACGATATTCAGTGGGATATATGTAACAGTTTCTATGAAAGTTTGGTCCCTTGCCCAAAATATTTGAGAATAGCAGTTTTTTTTTTTTTTTTTTTTTTTTGAGATGGAGTTTCGCTCTTGTTACCCAGGCTGGAGTGCAATGGCGCGATCTCGGCTCACCGCAACCTCCGCCTCCTGGGTTCAGGCAATTCTCCTACCTCAGCCTCCTGAGTAGCTGGGATTACAGGCACGTGCCACCATGCCCAGCTAATTTTTTGTATTTTTAGTAGAGACAGGGTTTCACCATGTTGACCAGGATGGTCTCGATCTCTTGACCTTGTGATCCACCCGCCTCGGCCTCCCAAAGTGCTGGGATTACAGGCTTGAGCCACCGTGCCCGGCCGAGAATAGCAGTTTTAAGTAAACCCATTAGCAACGTGTTACCATGTCTGCTGATGCTAAATGGGATGGACCTAAACCTGCTGAGTTATAGGATACTGGAATTCTCTTGATCACAGCTGTCCCTCTGGATAACTTAAAAGTGCCTGTGGAGGTTTAGATTTAGAACCAAAGTTATTCCAAGTTACAAAGTGATACAAACTGGCAAATAGTATAGAAAATATATGATGGTCTTACATTTTTTCAGGTCTGCTTCTGCTACACTTATGTTGATATATGCAAAGACTTTCTGTGGGTTTCCTAAAAAAAAAAAAAAAAATTATTATTTGAATTCTTATCCGGAAAGCAATGTAAAAAAAGTTAAGTTTCTAAATAATTAAAAAAAAAAATAGTTCTTGAAAACTTATTCTTTCAAAGATAAACCTTGTTTATATTTTACTGGGTACAAAAATAAACAGGATTATCAAAATATTCCCAAAAAAGTAGAAAATGTCCAGTAGTCAGTTAAAGAAACATTTTTATTGTATGCCAGTGATATTCTATTTAACGAGACGCTTAATCAATGTTAGTATGTTAGCACTGAAAACTGAAAGTTAATATGTTTCTGAAATCAGATGTTTTAGAATTTAGAATTTTTTCTGATTTCAGAAACGAATTCTGGTCAAGTTCTACATCATACATTATACCTCCAAAACATCATTTCAAACTTTTGCTGTTCAGAATTAACATTTATGTTGGGGTTGTTTTATTTTCTAGTACTTAACCTGAGTTATGTCTGCCTTTAACTACCCTGTGAAGAACCATAAATTTACCTTGGTCATCTTTCCGTGTGATGATGTCCACATCCGAAACGTCTCCAAATCTGCTGAACTGATTTTGTAGGTCTGCCTCAGAAATGTCCTGGCTAAGGCCACCCACATAAAGGCGCTTCGTTTCTCTGTTTACTTTCATGAAGGACTGGGCATATACTTGGTGTGTTTTAGTGGGAAAAGTAATTTTCTGTATATAGAGAAGAGTTCTTTCCCTTAGTTCTTCTCAAGTCTAAGAAAACAACTACTTCTCCTGAACCTTTTGTACCAAATCCATCTCCTGGATCTGTATTTCACTTCCTATTGCATTGTTTCCAAATTTTAGTACCAGAGCTTTTGCCCAGTCCCTATATCCACATTCTTCATGAATGCACTTTGGAAAAGCAAACCCAATACCTATATAGACACAGGTACAGACAGAGGCTTTTTTCCCTCCAAACGGTCATAGTATTACACTCTACACTTCTTAATTTACATATTCACGTTTTTAGATGTTTTTCCTTGACTCATTCATACATTCATTTACTGTCTTAAACAAAGGCTGACAGAAATAGGATGTGGCAGGTAACACACTAAAAGATAAAAACAGCTGGTCTACCTTTTCCTAATAGTTTCCGCCCCCAACCTACCCACCCCAGCCTTCTTCCTCCGAGAAAGTGAATAGAGCGGCTAGGAGCTCCTGGAACTCCTCATAATCACAAACGAATTAAACCAATGGTACAATATTATGTCACAATAAAAGTGCTGCAAAGTGGGGTTCAGACACAAAGATCAACGGACATAGCGAATACAGACTTGTGTTTTTGCTATGCGTCTGCATGCACTGTATAAAGTAGTTTGCATGCTTCCCATTTTCCACAAAAGCAGAAGAGGTTAAGGCACGTTCCCAACGCCATACCGAAAATTAGTGAATCCAGGATTATAATGCAGGTCTAACTTCAGGACTTGGAATTCTTAACACTATACTGTGAAGGTTGCTGGATCACAGGGGACTCGGAAAAACTTTTCCAGAGCTACTAGGGTCCATCATATTATCAATCATTTCGTTGAGGCCCCGGGAGGCGCTCAGCTCTCACCCTGCCCTTCTCCAAGAGCTGACAGACTCTTCCCAAACGAGATTCCCAACCAGCGTCCACCACATGGCATGTATTCTAGGCAGAGCTCCGGCCTACCTATCCCGATAGTCTCCGCCCCAGCCTGCCCACCTCAGCCTTCTTTCTCCGAGAAGACCCAGAGAAGTGAAGAGAAAGGCTAAGGAACAGCCCTGTGACTTCTCAGGCCCCAAACCCACTCCTCACCACGTCTTCACCTAAAGCCAGCGCCTCCGCAGCACCTAACTTCTGGTCACATGTCCCAACGGAGCATCCTCTCTTCCTTCCTACTCGATTTCCAACCCAGCCTCCTAACGTTCCGTTACCACAATTCAGTTCCCAAGAGCTCTTAATTTCCTTTGCCGTCCTCCCACCTTCCCTGACGCCTCCGTCACTTCCCCCCCAACGACCACGAAAGAGCCGAAACCAAAAATCCACTAGTTTCGATTTAACGCTATCGCTGTACCAATTCCCGGACTAGGTCGGCGGAAGCGAGGAAGAAGGGGGGGGGGGGGAAATAAAGAGGCACTCCTCTCCACGTGATCCCAGCACTGCCTCTTTAGTGACGCACGCGGCCGGGCGGCTCCAAGGCTGCTGGCGGGGGTGGGCAGCGGAGCCCTTGGGCTTGGAGTAGCAAAGAACGCGCTCTCCCGAAAGTGCAGCCACTGCTTAGACGTCCAGAAAAACGTGTGCAGGGACGTCGAGGACCCGGGTTCTCGTGCTAGCAAGGAGTTGGACGCGCAGGGCCGCGGGAGTCACGCGTGGCTCTCCCGCCTCCCCTCCGCGTGAGCTCTGGGATGGTCCGCGCCGGGAGCGCGCGGGAGGCTTGAAGCGCAGGTGAAACGCGCGGGTTAGAGTGACAGCGGCTACGGTCAGCAACGCGTCATGGACGCCGAACTGGCCGAGGTGCGCTGCCTTGCAAGCTGAGATCGCGGCCCTGCGGCGAGCGAGTGAGGACCCGCCAGCGCCCTGGGAAGAGAAGTCCCGAGTCCAGTACGTGGCCCCCCCCCCCAAGTCCTTCAGGGCCCGCCGGCCAGGGGTCCCAGGCCAGGCCGGCGAATCTCCGCAGACATCCCGGGTGTCCTACTCCCAGCCCCATGAATGTGGGCATGAACCGGCATTGATCCTGTCATGATGATGGCCTGGAGTTGGGAGCAGCGCGTACGGCGCCCTGTTGTAAACGCATTGCAGAGTATTAACTCTTTTAATCGCAGTCGTCTGTGTGGACGACTGACAAGGAGAAAGTCTTGACTATGTCTCTAGCTGGGTAATCCCGCCTCCAGTATGCAGAGGTATCTCTAGTTGGGATTTAATATCGTAACTCCGTTTGGTTTCATGGCATTTGTTTTTATGGCTCAGCTAACCATGGCAAGTGATACTTTTTGTTTACGATAATGCCATAAAAATTCCTTTAAAAATAACTTGGTAAAATACTAAGTTGATACAAAGAAAAATATTTAATATATCCTGTAGGAGAATTTGACATTCCTCTGAGGTAGGTGCTATTGTTAGCCATGTTTTATAGTTGAAGAAACTGAGGCACAGAGAAGTTAGGTAGCTTGTCCAAGGTTCCAGAGAAAGGAATTGTCAGAGATGGATAGGGACCCAAAAATCTAACTCCAAAGTCCAGGCAGTTTTCGTTTACTGAAGGAGAGGGAGCGAAAAGCTCTGCAACCGTAATTATGTGTCATCATCTCAAACATGGAATGTACTCGAAATTAACTGTCTTCATGTTTTGAGTCAAGACTAATTTGACATTCATGCAGAGAGAATGAGATTTTCCTGAGCTAACTGGAGAAGAATTGGTAGAAAATAGGGAGGAGGAGGAGATCTACAGAAAATGTCGGCATTCGGTCCTGAAAGTAGAGGAAGCTGTGACTGGTAAAAGAGAGAGGAAACAGGTGAACAGGGCACACACCTGCACCTTCCACAAATGAGAGTAAATGTATTAGAGACCCTTGCTAACTGAGGTGTGCTCCACAGATGGGAGGCTTTAGTATCACCTGGCAGTTTATTAGAGCGACATCCTGACCTACTGAATCAGAATCTGCATTTAAAAAAGATACCCTGCTCTGACAGATGATTTGTTTGCACACTTTGAAGTTTAAGAACTGGAGAAAAGTGGTTTCTTTACTGGCGACAAGATTTTATTAGTCCATATGGTAGAGTAGTGTAAACTGAAAGATCATGAGATCTGCAAATTTAAAGAGATTATTTCTTATGAAGGGTTACAGCCTGCAAAGTGGCCATCCTGACAAGCTGGGAAGCTTAGCCTCAGCCAAAGCGGAAAGGCAGGCACTTTGAAGGAGGTGGGGTTGGGGCAGGGATTTACGCTGGAGGAGTGGGCTGAGTATACATATTCAACAGGTCATAGGAGGAGCTATGAATATTCATGAAGGGAGATGTGCTCACGTGTACTGAATAAACATGCATGTTACATGCATCTCATGTTCATTTTGGGGAGCAGACTTAACATTTAAATGCATTACAATTAGGCCCTGTACGTCGAAAGGTGAAGGAGGGAAGCAAAGGTACTTAAGCACACAGCCTGTGTACATGATTTAAGAGTCCATGGTTGGTGATCTTATCAGAAGAAAATTTTGGAAGTCTCTTGTCGTATCAAAGCTGTGTAACAGAGGAGTCAGTTAGCATCTGGTTGTGGATGACCTGCAATTATTTTTATATTGCTTATCTGGAGGCCAGGGCTTATTTAGCCACTAGAGGGAAAAAAAAAAAAACTGTGGCAGTTATAACATAGTTCATTCTTTCAAGTGGAGGGGGTGTGTGACTTAACCTGTGCCTGGCATGGCCTTAGGTCTTGTTTATCATTTGGTAGCTTATTGCCACAGAGTCTGTTCTGCAACACTTACTATCTCTATTTTAACATTAATGCTGGTCAGTTGTGTCTAAACCCCAAATGAGAAGGGTTATAACGAGGTGTGTCTGACCTCCCTTCCTATCTTGGTTGAGAACTGAGTTTTTAAGGTTTCTTTGGGGTTTGCCTTGGCCAAGAGGGAGTCGGTTCGGTTTACTGTGAGGATGGGGTAGGATTTTATTTATATAATCTGGGACTTGTCAGTGGTTATGTTGGAAAGAGTCCAGATTGTGAGAGACATTAAATGTCAGTCCAGGGTGTTTGGATTTAACATGAGGTTTCTTTTCACTGTAGCGGAGAAGGAAGATTGGGACCTATGTACTTAGCTGTTTATTAGAGTAATTATAAGTGGTTGGATTGACTGGAGGCAGGAAAATTGGAGATAAATTATTCAGCTATATCCATGTATCCACACTGTGGAGCCAAGTTGCCTGCCTTCAAATCCTGTTTCTGCTGTTGGCTGAGTGATCTTGGTTAAATGAGCTCCCCTTTTCATGCTTCAGTTTTTTCCTTGGTAAAATTATACCCAAGTTTTTGGGTTGCTGTGAGGACTAATTGAGTTAATATATGTAGTTCATTTAGAAGAGTACTTGCCTTATAATAGTAACTAGCACTGATTAGTGGACTATTGACCTTGAAACTCATGTATAAATTCTTTTTAAAAGAGAAAACTTTCTTGTGAACTCCTAATTTTTACAAAAAATTTTTATGCTACTGAGACAAACTTACAAATAATAAAACCACAAAATGAATAAAATTCAAAGGAACCCAAATTAACTAAAACTAACAATTAGTTGAAATACACCAATATTTTGCTCAAACTAAATAGCTGCTATGAGTAAGAATATGCAGAGTTTCTTTTTGTGGCAAAATATACATAAGATTTACTTTTTTTTTTTGAGATGGAGTCTTGCTCTGTTGCCCAGGCTGGAGTGCAGTGGCATGATCTCTGCTTACTGCAACCTTCGCCTCCCAGGTTCAAGCAATTCTCTTACCTCAGCCTCCTGAGTAGCTGGGATTACAAGCACGTACCACCATGCCCAGCTAATTTTTGTATTTTTAGTAGAGATAGGGTTTCATCATGTTGGTCAAGGTGGTCTTGAACTCCTGACCTCGTGATCCACCTGCCTCGGCCTCCCAAAATACTGGAATTACAGGTGTGAGCCACCGCACCTGGCCAACTTTAACCATTTTTAAGTGTATAGCTCAGTGGCATTAAACACATGCACATTGTTGTGCAACCATCACCACTGCCCATCTTTAGAAACTTTTCATCACCCCAAACTGAAACACCATACGTATTAAACACTAACTCCCTGCTGGCCACTCTGACAACTGCAGGTTCTTTTTTGAGTTCTGCGTATCTATCCTTTAATGATGACTTGGTTCTCTTACCACTTTGCTCTATTAGAAATACCCTGAAATTTTCATTCATAGCTTGCTGTGACATTTGGTGTTCACTTGTCAAGAGCTCATCATTTATATATGAAGATTATCTCTGTTCTTTTTTCTCTTTTCTATTCCTTCCCTCCCTCACTCCCTTCCTTCTCTCTCTCTCTTTCTCTTTCTCTCTCTCTCTTTCTTTTTCTTTTTTGAGACAGGGTCTCACTCTGTTTCCCAGGCTGAAATGCAGTGGCATGCTCATTACTCACTGCAGCCTCTGCCTCCCATGCTCAAGCAATTGTCCTGCCTCAGTGACCCTCCACGAGCCCAGTAGTTGGCCCTAAGGGATGGCACCTGCTATTACACCCAGCTAATTTATTTATTTATTTATTTTTTGGTAGACATGGGGTTTTGCCATGTTGTTCAGATTGGTCTCAAACTCCTGGGCTGCCTCAGCCTCCCAAAGTGCTGAGATTACAGGAGTGAGTCACTGTGCCCAATCTGTTCTTTTTTATTTGACTTCTATGTTTAAAGTAATTTGTGGGGGCATCCTTCTATGATGACAAATGCAAAAGAGGCTGTGGTAGTTTCATGATACAGAATACACTTACATTTACATTTTAAATTAGCATTAAAACAAAATTTGAAAAAAATGTTACAGACTTTATTAAGTCTTGGATTCTCAGTGTGAAAAATGTGGAGTTAGATTATTCCCTATAGACATGGTATAAGAGCATAAGAGCATTGGCTAATGTAGTAGAATTAGAAATAGGAAAGAGAATAGTTATGTGAGGGAGCAGAAAGGATGACAGTCCAGATGTCAGGCAAGTGAAGGAGCCAAGGATATCTTCGAAGGTATAGAGCCTGACATACCAAGGGAAAGATTTTGTTATTAACAAATGTAGGGTAATTTAGAGGAAAAGGAGATTCCGAGAGAAACCATTTGGTGTGATATCAAGCAGCATCTACCTTGCAGGAAGAAGAGATATATGGTTAGAGGTATATTTTAAGAGTTAGCGGCATAGAGAGGCTAAAGCTAATCATTTGATGTTCCTACAGAATGAAAGAATACATATTTAGTACAGCAGAGGTAAGAGTGTTAGGGTTTTCCTCTAATGTTGGAGATAAGAAACTGACCCAAGATATCAAATGAGAATTGGGATAATTATGCCCAAGGATCCAAGGAAGGGATGTTTTAAGCTGGCAGGAACAGTCAGCAGTGTAGAATGTAGCAGAGTGTTTAAAGGAAATGATGGATGACAAAAAAATAAGATAGCATCTAGTGCAATTATTAACTAAAATTTCTTTTTTTAAAAAAAATTTAAATTTTAAATGTTGCCCTTTTTTTTTGAGACGGAGTCTTACTTTGTTGCCCAGGCTGGAGTGCAGTGGTGTGATTTCTGCTCACTGCAACCTCTGCCTACCGGATTCAAGCAATTCTCCTGCTTCAACCTCCCAGGTAGCTGGGATTACAGGCGCCTACCACCACGTCTGGCTAATTTTTTGTATTTTTAGTAGAAACAGGGTTTCACCATGTTGGCCAGGCTGGTCTTGAACTCCTGACCTCAAATGATCCATCTGCCTTGGCTTCCCAAAGTGCTGGGATTACAGGGAGGAGCCACTGTGCCCAGCCAACTAAAATTTCATTCTTTTTCTCTAGGAAAATAGATTTATATGTTTTCAATGAAGAATATCTGGCTATAATGCTGTTTAAAGAGATTTGCTATTTCAGCTGGGCACGGTGGCTCAAGCCTGTAATCCCAGCACTTTGGGAGGCCGAGGCGGGTGGATCACGAGGTCAAGAGATCGAGACCATCCTGTTCAACATGGTGAAACCCCGTCTCTACTAAAAATATAAAAAATTAGCTGGGAATGGTGGCGCGTGCCTGTAATCCCAGCTACTCAGGAGACTGCGGCGGGATAATTGCCTGAACCCAGAAGGCGGAGGTTGCGGTGAGCCGAGGTCACGCCATTGTGCTCCAGCCTGGTAACAAAAGCGAAACTCCATCTCAAAAAAAAAAAGAGATTTGCTATTTCCTTTTTCTGAGAAATCTCTTTCTTCCTTTCTTTTTTTTTTTTGGAGAGACGGGGTTTCACCATGTTGACCAGGATGGCCTCGATCTCTTGACCTGGTGATCCACCTGCCTCGGCCTCCCAAAGTGCTGGGATTATAGGCATGAGCCACCGTGCCTGGCCGAGAAATCTCTTTCTTAGTATAAAGTGTTCTATGATATTTACTTTTAGAAATTAAAGTTAGCTAATTGATTTTATTTTTTAATTTCAAGACAGCTTTTAAAATAATTTGAGAGGTCTTGGTATATCAGACATTTAGGTTGGAATTTCATGGGTTAGAACTTGCATTGTAATTTTGCAAAGTACTCCTATTATAAATTATTTTAAAGTTGTTTCTAATATGTGGAAATTTTGAAGAATAATTTGATTACATTTGTTTTTTGTTGAAATTAAAGATTGTGGGCTAGGCATGGTGGCTCATACCTGTAATCCAGCACATTGGGAGGCTGACGCAGAAGGATTGATCGAAGCCAGGCGTTCAAGACCAGCCTGGATAATAAAGCAAGACCCTGTCTCTACAAAAAGGAAAAAAAATTAGCTAGTCACAGTGGCACACCTGTGGTCCCAGCTACTCAGGAGGATCCTTTGAGCCCAGGAATTCAAGGCTGCAGTCCACTGTGTTGCACCACTATACTTCAGCCTGGGTGATAATGTGACACCCCATCTCTTTAAAAAAAGAAAAAAAAAGATTGTGGTGGTTTAAAAAAAGGAAAAAAAGAAAGATTGTGGCTTTCTCAAAGCCACAATGGTTTTGAGAAAATTCTGTTTTTTTTTTTTTTTTAAATGGGGGAAGGTGACTTAATGGGAAGAGAGTAAGAGGGACAAATTGAGGAAAATCGGGATATTAGATATATGAAACATGTTTAGTAATTGGAGTGATTATTTTTGATATTTGCTTTTTAGAAAATCTTTCCAAGCAATACATCAATTCAATTCGGAAGGATGGAAGTCTTCAAAAGATCTGAAAAGTCAGCTTGGACATTTAGAATCAGAACTTTCATTTCTAAGTACGCTTACTGGCATCAATATAAGAAATTACTCCAAGCAGACCGAAGACCTAACAGGCACTGAGATGACAGAAAAGAGTAAGCATTTTTTAAAATCAATTTAGGCATAGTATCGAAGCTTACCTTATTATGCATAAGATATTGGTTGTCATAATATTGAATTGAAATTCTACAAGGTAAGTATTTGAAAGTATGGTTGTGGTAAACCTGTTTACTCACATATCTTTTGAACATCACAGTGTTCAAAAGCTGCCTGGTCTGGGCCCCATGGCTCATGCCTGCAATCCCAGCTTTTGGGAGACCCAGGTGGGCAGATCATCTGAGGTCAGAAGTTCGAAACCAGCCTAGCCAACATGGCAAAGCTCTGTCTCTACTAAAAATACGAAAATTAGCTGGATGTGGTGGTGGGCACCTGTAATCTCAGCTACTTGGGTGTCTGACCCAGGAGAATTGGTTGAACCCGGGAGATAGAAGTTGAAGTGAGCTGAGATTGTGCCATGGATGGCACTCCAGCCTAGGGGGCAGAGCAAGACTCCGCCTCAAAAAAAAAAAAAAAAAAAAAAAAAGCTATCTGAGATAAATAGTAAAGAACAGGCACAGTTTCTATAATTAAGTACCTTAATAGTCAAGTAAATAGTGATAAATGAATAATTATTATAAGAACAACAGCACCATTAATTTATAAATCTTAGGAGTTGTTCAGCACTGACATGAAAGCTGCCAAGATAAATGTTTTAGCAGATAGACCTTTTGCTAGAAGGAAAATTTCTGGTCCCAATGACTAGATTTTATTGCCAAAGATCTGTGATGCACTAAGAGATAAGGGGGAGCTACTTCGGCTGTGCAAGTGGATGTCAAAAACTTTGGTTGGTCAAGAATAACATTCCCAAAAGCAGAAATCATTTTTGGTGTGCTTCCTGACTTTTCCAGTGCAAATAACCCTCATGACAGGGGAGAGGGAGAATAACCTTAGAGTGTCTTTGGCAGCCACTGTAGGGTAATGGAATTATATATAGAAACAGAGTGATGAAATTTGGAGACTTAAATTACTTGAAGGGAAGAGATGGAATGCAGAGAGAATAGGGAATGAGGATAGGCCAGGTATAAGACTTTTACTAGCTTAAAAGTCTCAACATGGGCCGGGCGCGGTGGCTCAAGCCTGTAATCCCAGCACTTTGGGAGGCCGAGGCAGGTGGATCACGAGGCCGAGAGATCGAGACCATCCTGGTCAACATGGTGAAACCCCATCTCTACTAAAAATACAAAAAAAATAGCTGGGCATGGTGGCGCATGCCTGTAATCCCAGCTACTCAGGAGGCTGAGGCAGGAGAATTGCCTGAACCCAGGAGGCAGAGGTTGCGGTGAGCCGAGATCGCGCCATTGCACTCCAGCCTGGGTAACAAGAGCGTAACTCCGTCTCAAAAAAAAAAAAAAGTCTCAACATGAAGATTAGGCATAGAGTCTTGACAAAGCTAATGTGCTTTGAATGGGAGATTTCAGACAGGGACATCACAAGAGTTAAAATGCTTTTTTTCTGTCTGTGAGTAATATGTGCTCATTTTAGAAAACTTAGAAAAATATAAAAATTGTAAACAAGAAATATCATTTTAAAGCCAGAAATCTATGTGGTTGTAGGAATTTCTTGAAATGAATTGTGAAGTAGTTTGGCAAGAGTAATGGTACTGGAAGAAAAATATTTTGTTTTTTATTTTTTTGTTCCTTTTTTCATTTTTGTTTGTTTTTTGAGATGGAGTTTTGCTCTGCTAGGCTGGAGTGCAGTGGCGTGATCTTGGCTCCCTGCAACCTCCACCTCTTGGGTTCAAGTGATTCTCCTGCCTCAGCCTCCTGAGTAGCTGGGATTACAGGCATGCGCCACCATGCCTGAGTAATTTTTATGTTTTTAGTAAAAATTAGGTTTCACCATGTTGGCCAGGCCGGTCTCGAACTCCTGACCTCAGGTGATCTGCTCTAATTGGCCTCCCAAAGTGCTGGGATTACAGGCCTGAGCCACTGTGCCCAGTGTAAGAAAAATATTTTGAACAGGAAAATAATAATAAAGACTGAAAGTAGCAGTCATATGTAATGTAATCTATACATGAAAGAGTCCTGTCAGAATAAGCCATTTTACAATGCAGTGCTGGTGTCACTGGTTTTCAGATGTTTCTTGTTCTCTTTTTCACAAGAATTGTATAATTTCATAAAGAAGTTAAACAGTTGTTAGGCTTCACAGGTCAAAAATGCTTGAAAGCCTTGTCGTCGAAGACTATTTTCTTATGTCACAATAGCTGTTTGTTGTAACACAGAAAAAAGTTACCAGGCAAAAGTGAATAGTTGTTCCAAACAGAAGTGATACAGCATTGTTCCAATGATATTTCTAATAATAATACTATATTTTGACAGATTTTAAATCTATTAAACTGGGAACAATACAGTTTGATTTAGTGGATGTGTTTGGTGACACATGATGCCATCAGATCTTTAATTAATCAAATAATTACTGTGTCTGGCCCGGATACTTGGCCAGGTGCTATTGGAAAGACAAATAGCTATTTGAAGCCATTATCTTTTGCCATAGCTATTACTTGGTTAGACACAGTTTCTGTGGCATATTAATGAATAGCCAAAGCTAAGTAATCAAATTATCTTGATTTCCATCATTCCAAAGTATTGTTTATCATTATTCAGTCATAACTAATACTTTATTGCAGCTATGCTTTATTTCTCTGTACATTTTTAGAATTCTTTTTTTTTTTTTGGAATTTGCTTTAGTACTTATGATGATTCTTTTAAATATTCTCCATTTTGGTTCCAAAAGAGTCAGTTTACAAATTAAGTAATGGAGTTTGGAGTCCAAATTAAGTGTTACTGCAAAGTAATGAGAATAGTTTTTTAATTTACAATTTTTATTCTTGTCTTTTGATTAGCTTTAAATGCATATTGTTAAAAATATGTGAATGGGCTTGATACGTGGATTGATTGTCTTGAAGGACTCATCCTCTTCTGCTATCTGTAAACTTTGTTAAAAATACACCCTTACTCATTATTTTAAAATAAAAATCAGGCCAGGTATGGTGATTCACGCCTGTAATCCAGCACTTTGGGAGGCTCAAGTAGGTGGATCACTTGAGGTCAGAACCAGCCTGGCTAACATGGTAAAACCTCGTCTCTACTAAAAATATAAAAATTAGCTGGATGTGGTGGTATGGTGATTCACGTGAATCAGGTATGGTGATTCACGCCTGTAATCCAGCACTTTGGGAGGCTCAAGTAGGTGGATCACTTGAGGTCAGAACCAGCCTGGCTAACATGGTAAAACCTCGTTTCTACTAAAAATATAAAAATTAGCTGGATGTGGTGGTGCGTGCCTGTAGTCCCAGCTGCTTGGGAGGCTGTAGCAGAAGAATGGCTTGAAGCTGGGAGGTGGAGGTTACAGAGACCTGAGACTGCACCATTGCGCTGTAGCCTTGGTGACAAAACAAGACCCTGTCTCAAAAAAAAAAAAAAAAAAAAAAAAAAAAAAAAAGCTGGGCGCATTGGCTCACACCTGTGGTCCCAGTGCTTTGGGAAACCAAGGCAGGTGGATCACTTGAGATCAGGAGTTTGAGTCCAGCCTGGCCAATGTGATGAAACCCTGTCCGTACCAAAAATACAAAAATTAGCATGGTGGGGGACACCTGTAGTCCCAGCTGCCAGGAAGCTGAGGCAGGAAAATCGCTTGAACCCAGGAGGCAGAGGTTGCAATGAGCAGAGATGGTGCCACTGCACTCCAGCCTGGGCGACAGAGCGAGACTCCATCTTAAAGATAAAATAAAATAAAAACCAGTGTGTTCAAGTTAAAAAGTACTGAACTGAAAATTTATCATGCTATATATTTGCATGCAATTTATATATGCATAGTGTTCATCCATAAAGAAAGCCTGGACGTAAAGAAAAAATCAAGTCTGGATATTGGACAGAATAATAAGTCTCTCTGGGCCTGATTTCTTGTGTGCAAAATAAAGTGATTGCTCTATATTTCCAGGATTCCATTTGCATTTTTTTCTTTTTCTTTTTCTTTTTTTTTGAGACGTAGTTTCGCTCTTGTTACCCAGGCTGGAGTGCAATGGCGCGATCTGGGCTCACCGCAACCTCCGCCTCCTGGGTTCAGGCAATTCTCCTGCCTCAGCCTCCCGAGTAGCTGGGATTACAGGCACGCGCCACCATGCCCAGCTAATTTTTTGTATTTTTAGTAGAGACGGAGTTTCACCATGTTGACCAGGATGGTCTTGATCTTTTGACCTTGTGATCCGCGCGCCTCGGCCTGCCAGAGTGCTGGGATTACAGGCCTGAGCCACTGCGCCCGGCCTGCATTTTTTCTTTACTGCATTTTTGGCACATTTGTTTTTATGTGCAAAGCCCAAGATCATCTAGATTTTCTCCTATAGTATCTTCTAGGAAGTCTTATCGTTTTGTATTTTATATTTAGATCTGTGATATATTTTAAGTTAATTTTTGTGAAAGTTATTAAGTCAGTGTCTGTTTGTTTGCATGGGGATGTTGAGTTGTTCCAGCCCCTTTTGTTGAAAAGACTATCCTTTCTCCATTGAATTGTTTTTGCTCCTTTGTCAAAGATCATTTGACTATATCTGTGTGACCCCATTTCTGGACTTTCTCTTCTGTTCTGTTGACCTATTTGTCTACTCTTTCACTAATACCATACTGTCTTGATTACTGTAGCTTTATAGTAAGTCTCTAAATCAGGTCATCTAAGTTCATAAACTTTATGTTTCTTGAAGATTGTTCTGGCTTTTCTGAGTTTTTGCTCTATGTCCACATAAATTTGATAATCAGTTCGTCAATATCCAGAAAATAACTTGCTGGAATTTTGATTGGATTGCATTGAATGTGTAGATCAAGTTGGGAAGAACTGACAACAATTGTGAGTCTTCCTTAGCCATTTATTTAAAAAATTCCACATGTAATCCATGATTAGGCATTGCACCTAGTTGTCATGTCTCTTTAGTCTCACTAGTCTGGTCAGCATTCTGTCTTTTATGACATTGACATCTTCAAAGACCACTTGTATTATACATTGTTCTTCAATTTCTTTTTTTTTCTGATGGTTTCCTCTTAATGACATTCCCGTGCAATTTTGACAGAAAAACTATGAAAGTGATGTTTTGTTCTTACTGGTACATCTAATTAGGAGGCAAATAATGTCAGTTTGTATCATTCTGTCTTTTTTTCTAACTGCTTATTGAACAAATCTTTAACCAGCCTTCCTATTTTGAGCCCCAGGTCCACCTCCCATAAAGGTACTTGATGCTGCTGATTCATAATACTCTTCTGGTATTCGGCTATGTAAATGGGCTTGCTTCTGGGTTTCCCCATTTGCTGGCTTGGGTTTCAGTTTTTCTGGCTCTACCAGGTCACTTTTACTTGTTCATATGCTATCTAGTTCATCTGTCTGATTTCCAGCTTCCCAAATCAGATTTCTCTTATCTTTCCTGTTCCCTTTATCCTTATAGAATCATGCCCTTCTAAAAATAACATCATTAGCAAAAGTAGATGACTACATAAAGTCAGGATAGTGCTTGCTTACTTCTTGTGGGTAGGGTATACCCTGGGAAAGGACATAAGTTAACCTTATGGGTTCTATAAAATTCCTGTATCATTATTTGAGTGGTAGTTACCTGGACAACCACATGTGTAAAAAAAAAATTGAGCTGTTTTCTTAAGAACAGGGCATTTTATGCATTCAAATGTATGCATGTCATGTCTCAAAAATATCATTTATCACTGTCATTTTGGTGAAGGTTTGAGAGATAGCAGAGATAAACGCATGGATTCAATTTACTGCCTTTAAGAACTAGATAGTGTTTAAAAAATAACCATTGAACAGTTAACATGATTCAAATTTGTCTAGGGCTATACTAGTACATTTCTCCTTTTTTTTTTTTTTTTTTGAGACAGAGTCTCATTTTGTCGCCAGGTGCCAGGCCGTAGTGCAGTGTTGCAGTCTCGGCTCACTGCAACCTCCACCTCCTGGGTTCAAGCAATTCTCTTGCCTCAGCCTCCTGAGTAGCTGGGAATACAGGCACACGCCACCATGCCCAGTTAATTTTTGTATTTTTAGTAGAGACGGGGTTTCACCATGTTGGCCAGGATGGTCTCGATCTCTTGACCTCGTGATCTGCCTGCCGTGGCCTCCCAAAGTCCTGGGATTACAAGCATGAGCCACTGCGCCCTGCCACATTTCTACTTCTTGCCATAATTTTTGGGCATAGTTGAAAACTAGAATTAGAAGTTGTCGTTAATTTTATTTTCCAAAGATAATCAATTTGGTGTACATTTTTCCAGAGTTTTTCAATGTAATTACTCATGCATACTTTCACACATATACCCAAAGTATTGTAGATATTCACACAAAATTAAATAATAGGCATTTGAAGAAAATGGTGATTTACAAACAAAATATTTGTTTTTCTGGTTTACAGGTATAAGAAAAGTTCTACAGAGACACCGATTATCAGGAAATTGCCACATGGTTACATTTCAACTTGAATTTCAGATTCTGGAAATTCAGGTAAGTTAAGGAGCATGTTGTGATAACAGAGATACTTCTGCTATGAGATAAACAATTCCCACAGCCTTCAACAGTGGTAGAGCTGAAGAGGAGTTCATGAGCCAGGGCCCCCTCATAGCACTTTTGTACAAAGTGGTACATTTTCAAAATTTCAAGTATTAATAGCCCAGCAACTGCATATGGTAGGATTGTTATGAAAACCATAGGTGCTTTATTGAAGGACAGGTAGCAAGATGCTCCTGGGCTCCCAGTGCAATCCCATGAGGTTGTAGGAATAGTCCTGGGTAGTTAGGTAATATGCCAGCCATCTAATATCTATTAGTTACCTATTGCTGCTCAACCAATCTTCATAACATTTAGCATCTTAACCCAAAGTAGGCCAAGCATGATGGCTTTCACCTGTAATCTCAGCATTTTGGGAGGCTAAAATGGGAGGATTGCTTGTGCCCAGGAGTGTGAGATCAGCCTGGGCAACATAGTGACACCCTGTCTCTCCAAAAAGTAAAAAATTAGCCAGGCATGGTGGTACACACCTGTGCTCCCAGCTACTCGAGGCTGAGGTGGAAGGATTGCTTGAGCCTAGGAGGTAAAGGCTACAGTGAGCTGTGATTACACCACTGTTACTCGAGCCTGGGTAATAGAGTTAGATCCTATCACACACACACACACACACACACACACACACACACACACACACACACACAAAAACACCAAAAATATAATCATCCCTCAGTATCTGTGAGTGATTGGTTCCAGGACTTCCTGCAATACCAAAATCCACGGATACTCAAGTTCCTTATATAAAATGATGTAGTATTTGCCTATAATGTACAGACATCCTTCTTTATACTTTAAATCATCTTTAGATTACTTCTAATACCCAATACAATGTAAATGCTATGAAATAGTTATTATAGTATATTGTTTAGGGAATAATGATGAGAAAAACAATTTGTATGTGTTCAGTACAGATGCAATCATCTACATCTATAGTTTTGTTTTGTTTTTTCAAATATTTTTGGTCTGCAATTGGTTAGTCTGTGGATGTAGAACCACAGATAGGGAGGAATTACTGTATTTATTAATTATCTCACCTATTTTCTGTGGGTCAGGAATTTTGGATTCCCTCAGTTGAGTGTCCTTGCTGAGGGCCTCTCATGAGGTTGTGGTCATCTGGGACCACAGCCACCTGAATACTCCTTGGGGCTGGATGATCTTGCATGTTGTACTGGATTGCTGAGACATCACAGAGGGAGGAAGATCCCTTTGGCTAAGATCTTCACATGATATCAGGAAACAGGAAAGCAAAAGCAGACAGAATAAGTAGCCCCACTGGCCAGCGCGCAGCAGAACAGGGCTCAGCCACCTTCAAAGGCTGACTCTAAGAAAAGCTGAAAGCCGGAGAAACAATTGAAAAAGGAGAACGCAGTTTCAACTAGTCGGTTTTGCCAGTTGGGCCAACAGGGAATATGTGCAAAGATGAGGAACAGAACAGGGAAGGACAGTCAGGTTACCTTGGCCTCAGCTCATCAGATAGCTAAAGAGTAGTGTAGAGTAGTTGTTGTAACTGAGTCCTAAGGACAAGCTGCCTGCTTATATTCAGGGTCATGTGCCAGGATTCCTTATCCTTGTCATCAGTGTCCTTAGCCACAAAAACAGTCCCAAGTTTCCCATTTTGTATGAGACAGGAGTTGGTCATGGAGTCAGGACCTTACCTTCTTCTGTGTCATATAGCCACTCCCTAACTAGTCCCAAGGATTTGGTACAGTTATCTGGGTTTGGATGTTTTGCTTCTCTTGCAGTCCAAATCTCCATTTGCCATTACTGGCTCTGGCAGGCTGAGGATGGGCTGGTGGTTATATAGACCCCCTCATTTGATGGCAAAGCTCCCAGCTTGTACTCATCTTAGAGTATCTCTCTTACACTGCCAAAGTGACCAAGAAAAGGTGCAGTGTAGCATTGCCAAGGCCAGTTGAGCAGGATACAAAACACATTTCACCATGTTCATGTGTCAGGGATATGGGTGATATGTGGCTCTAGGGAACTGACATTGTTCCCAGATGGGCACCAGGCCTTGGGGATGTACAAGATCACCAAAGTGATATCACGTGACCACAAAGATCATTTGCTGAAGACTAAAGCACAGAATGGACCCAAATGGACTGATATCATTTAGGCTGGACAACCTGTGCCAGCACCCCAGGCTTTTCCTTTAGGTGGCACAGGGATTCCTGGATGTTGTCCCATTGCAGAAGGTTTTGTAGTCTGACCAACTATATTTTCTTTCTTTGTGGCTGATGTGAACTTGATCTGAGAGTGGTAATCTACTAAATGCACTTCTGTATGCCAGCATCCATTAATGGGCCAGGCCTGCAACCCATGGCAGGTTGGTAGAATCATAATCCAGTGGTCCAGTTCCATTACTGAAAACATCTGCACTTTAGTATGTATGTCCAGGAAACTGCTCAGGGGAATCCTAGCAGCCTTGGGATCTTGCAGCCTTTTTCTGCTGTAGGAGTTCATCTCTTTCACAGGTGCCTTGTGGGTTATGTGGAGAGAAGCTCGGCTGTAGGCAAAATTAGTCTTGTCCTTGGGAGGCTTGTCCACAAATCCAAGTGAAAAGGGAAAGATTTATCCTCTGACATTGAGGTGAATGAGCTGCTTAGTGGAGTTGTACCTTCCAGGATGGGTTGTACCCTAAGATTGATTGATGTGCTCCTTAGTGGGGCTATGGCCTGAGAAGACTACAGTATCCAACATAGACTGCAATATCTTCACTTCACTTTATTTAAGTTGCATACTTCAGTCACCTTAAACCTCTGATGGGAAGTATCAATTCATAATTTGATGCCTTCCTGAGTCAAATAAGGATGAGGTCATGGTGTAGAAGACATTTGTGATAACGTAATATGCTCCTGAAGAATGACTGCTGCCTGAACAGAGTCATTCCCAGCATGAACTACCACATGGTTTGGCCTCCTGGGCCTGGGTAGCTGCCCCAGGGCAGCACAGACAGGATAGAAGCCAAGCAGTAGATGTCCTGCCACTTAGGTCCTGCTACCCCTGCTGCTGTCTGCCTCCCACCAGACAGTGTTGGCACTGACCCAGACCTCAACAGTATTTTTTTTTTTTTTTTAAGATGGAGTTTCGCTCTTGTTACCCAGGCTGGAGTGCAATGGCGCGATCTCGGCTCACCGCAACCTCCGCCTCCTGGGTTCAGGCAATTCTCCTGTCTCAGCCTCCTGAGTAGCTGGGATTACAGGCACGCACCACCATGCCCAGCTAACTTTTTGTATTTTTAGTAGAGACGGGGTTTCACCATGTTGACCAGGATGGTCTCGATCTCTTGACCTCGTGATCCACCCGCCTCAGCCTCCCAAAGTGCTGGGATTACAGGCTTGAGCCGCCGTGCCCGGCTACAGTATTTTAAGCAAATATTCTTATCCTCATGCCACCAAACCATGATTGAAAATTTTGTGACTGTTTGGTAATGGCCTGAGATTATACTGTTAGCTCACATGCTGAATGAATTAGAATCATTTGAGCTGTGCCTGCAAGAAAACTTAAAAATAAAGGTACTAGAAGTATGTTTCTCTATTACTTAAGTAAACTTGTATGTTTTCTAGGGCCAATATGGTGGGTTTATGATCATCAGAGTCTACCATCAACCACACGTGGCTTCAAGTCATAGCTCAATGATCACATTAGCATTTCAGGTATCAGGAAGAGGTTGGGCAAACAAAGGCTCACCTATTCTTTTAAAGAACACTTTCTGGAAGTTGAACACTCAGCATTTTCACTTATAGTCCATTGGCCAACAAACTGATGCAAAGGATGCTGGAAATTTAGTCTTCATTATACTTGGCCATATGGCTAGTGAAAAACTGGAGCAAGAAAAAAGTATAAATAGAGGGGACTACTAGGAGTTTCTTTCCTACATGCTTTAGGGGATGCAGGAGGAAAAAAAATCTAAAGAGAGGAACTGTTGATATATTCTTTGAAAGATATAGAACCAGGCTGGACCCGGTGGCTCATGTCTGTAGTCCCAGCACTTTGGGAGGCTGGGGCAGATGGATCCGGAGTTCAAGACCAGCCTGGCCAACATCGTGAAACCCCTTCTCTACTAAAAATACAAAAAATTAGCTGGGAGTGGTGGTGGGCATCTGTAATCCCAGCTGCTATGGACCCTGAGGCAGGAGAATCACTTGAACCCCTGGAGACAGAGGTTGCAGTGAGCCCAGATTGCACCACTGTACTCCATCCTGGGTGACAGAGTGAGACACTCTTTCTCACACACACAAAAAAAAGACATCGTAATTGCTGAATCTCTAAAGAGACATGAGTTGTCATTGTTCATGTTTAAAAGTATGTAGATGTTTTGGGACTGCTTGGTTTTACTAACAATGTGCTACAGAAAGAGTGTGTTCTCCCTGGCTGTGTTAAGAATTCTTTCTCTCTGAGCCTTTTAGATTTTAGGATTCTTCTTGAAGACCAGACTGGTAAATAAGGTGTTGGAAGAAATCACAGACACATCTGGAATTAACATGGATTTTGGAATCAGTTGTATAGGAGGGCACCAAGAGTCCTTACTTGGGGAGGAAAAACAAATAACAATCTTATTTTTCTTTATTGTTTACAATTCTGATGTAATAAGGTGATGGAAACTTTTTGAAATTTTTATTATTTAATGGCAAATTCTAGCATATTCTTTACCAACTTGTGTATGTATGCCTTTAGAAACATATCTAGTAGAATTCCCAGGTCAAAGGAAATGTCCTTTTAAATTCTGAAAGTGACAAATTGCCTTCTAAAATAGTTTTACCATTTTACATACTATACTGAGCACATTTTTACTGTCAAGGCTGATAGAAAAAAACAACACAGCAACCTTGTGTGTTCTAAAACATTTTTTAAAAGTAAAATTTCCACTAGAGGGAGAGGTTTAGCTATCTGAAAATTAAAACGTAATCTAAATAGTAAAATCTTCAATTTATAGAATA